ATTATTATTATTATTATTATTATTATTATTATTATTATTATTATTATGCTTTTTCACGTTTACATATCTCATTCTCATCTTTAACAACACTGCGGCATTGTTGTTACATGTACAGATCTCCATATATTTATATTCATTTATATACATTTTTCTTATCTCTACTATTCTTATTCCTACTATTCAACCATTCAAACCAATTATCCCAGACCGCATAGTCAGTGGTGCGATTCAAATAATTTAACAACCGGTTCTCTACCCTAATGATTTCGTCCAACAACCAGTTCACTAAACTGCTCAGATAGTTTTTTTGTTTTATTTTATTTTATTTGGTTTGTCAATTGCTTACAAGGTAATAAGTATAAGTAAAAACATAGTTATGAATACATGGATACATATAAGAAAAATAAAAGGAACAATAGGACAGGGACAGTAGGCATGTTGGTGCGCTTATGCACGCCCCCTACAGACCTCTTAGGAAAGGGGTGAGATCAATAGTAGACAGTCTAAGGTTAAAGTTTTTGGGGTTTGGGGAAGAAACCACAGAGTCAGGTAGAGTATTCCAGACATTGATTAGTCTGTTGCTGAAGTCGTAACAGAGTTAACAACATAGTTAACAACCGGTTCTCCCGAAGTGGTTGCCAACTGACTGAATCCCACCACTGCGCATAGTACTCTGACTCTTCTTTGCCTTCTAGCTCTAGAGTGAGTTTGTCCATTTCAGCACATTCTAATATTCCTATGTGAATCCTGAAACTATTTTATTTCATATAGCAATAATTTGTACTAATTTGTAATAATTTTCAGGTCTTGGAAACTGGCTGTGTAAAACTGCTTAAAAAGACTGTGACGGGAGGAGAGAAGAGCTGCAGAACCACATGTAACATGGTGCTAAAGGAATCGCCCACAACAAGGATCATGGGTTACTCATCTTTTGAATGTATAAAGAATCCTTGGATTGATGACAATCTGAAGTTCATTTCAAATGAACATGAAGTTAACATTCCACTAATTTCAAAAGACCCAGATTCTCTTTCCAATCTAAATCAATTAGAAGAAGATGACAATGCTTCTTCAGGATCTGATGATTCCTACCATTCCTGCAATCTAACCATTCCATCTAAAAAAGACAAACAAGTTTTTTTCAACATTCTGAAACATTTCCTTGAAGATCAGAGCATCTTACAAGAAGGCAATGAGGAAGAACGTTGGTGTGACAAAAGCAAACTGAAGTTAAAATATATGGGAAGAAAGTGCAACGCACTCATTCTGGATGGAGATGGGAATGAATTATGGGAGGGAATAATAGAAACAAAACATATATACCTCAACTGGAGGGGTGATGAGGTAGAACCTCTAAGCTTAGAGAATCTCCAAAGTGTGCAGAATAAATTAAAATTCCTTGGAATTCAAAACAAGAAAGTGTGTGATTGCTTCTCGCTGGCTAGAGCCCAATTTATGGAAGAGCCAAACTGGGTGCAGGAGAATATGAAACTGAAAATAATTTGCTGTGAAGTTATTCTGACCTTTGGTAAAGGAAAGAACTTGGCCACGGTTCTTTATGATGACATCAAGAAAATACCGAAGTACAATATGGAAATGGCACATTGGTATACCAAGTTGTACAGGTCCCTCAGGTTTCTTTCTGATTGGTTGGTCACATTTTTTAGAAGCAATTCTAAATTTTTTTCTCATATTGGATCTTTCTTACAATGTGTTTACCAATTTCTATCACTGTGCAGTAAATACAAACAGCTGTGACCAGTATTTCTGTGTTTCTAGTTCAAATTAACAAGAGGATGGTTCTTTTGTGTTAGCCATTTTCTGAAAATCCTTTAACTTTCTGCAATATTATTTGTACCTGCTATCAGAAAAAGGATGTTCCCGTTTGCTCTTAAATACTTGGGTTGTTTTTTTTTTGTTTTTTGTTTTAAAAGCAAATTGAAGAATTAAGTAGGAGGAATTGAACTCTGCAGGCACCACAGTGGCTGTTTCTTCTAACAGAAGTAGCTATGTTGATAACTTTTCAATGATGAGTTGACGACTACAGATCTACAGAAAAACAGAGTTGGAAGGGACCTTGGAGATCATCTAGTCCAACCCCTGCTCAAGCAGGGGATCCTATATAATTTGAGAGAAGTGGCTGTCCAGTCTCCTCTTCAAAGCCTCCAATGATGGAACATCCACAACTTCTGAAGGCAAGCTGTTCTATCTATTAATTGTTCTCACTGTTAATAAATTTTCCTGAGTTCTAGGTTGCTTTTCTCCTTAGCTTCTTCTTCCATCCATTGTTTCTAAGAAATGAGTGGCAATCTCTGAACTAGGAGAAAGGCCATAATTCTTGGCATCTCACACAGCTACTTGAAAGCTTGTATCAGATTTGTAAAGCTTTCTGTAATGCCCATGCAAATGATGCTAAATAGTACATCCATTGTAAAACTAGTAAGAAATGATTTTGTTAGCTCCTATTGTCCAGTTTGGGGCAAGGAATCTTTTGATGTCTATTTCCCATACTTAATATGAGGGGAAGGGAAGTGTGGCACAAGTGTATATGCCATCTTACATATATGAACATAGCTGGGAATTGACTTCTTTTTATTGTTTTCAAACTTGTTAGAATTATTTGAGGGATAACATTGCAGCTTTTGTTTATTTCCTGCCTCAAAATAGTGGGAAAGTATAATATGGATTTTCAACAAGAAAAGGACTAGATTCCATCAAAGGTGTTTTGGGAGCATCCAGACTTTGACACCATACCTGTCCTGTTCTGAACAACTTTCTATCTTCCAGGTGTAAGTCTGGGACCCTGTAATACTTTTTGTGCATTTCTTTGATTTTAAATGTATATTATCACACACATAATTATTTAAGAAATGCCCTATTACATTGTGAAATGATAATTTGCATACCAGATTCTTCTTATAAAAAGAAAGAGTCTTCATGCTTTTACCAATTTAAGATTCTTGTACCTCAACATAACATCATTTGCAAAATGTTGCTTTTGCATTCTTAAGATTTTACCATAATTATTTTCACTACTGTCGGTAACATTACAATTTTTGATAATGTTTTATTGAAAAAAAGCTGTAGTCACATATTTTGTAGATTGTGAGTTATATTATATTACATGTTTTACTTTTTTTGCATAAGACATATTTTAATGGATGTTATGTATGCTCATTATTTAATTGAAATGTTAATTAAAATAATGGCAACTTCCACCATTGATCTTGCTTGTTCCCTATTAGAAATTATAGTATCATTTCATAATTGTCATTGAGATTATTTTGAGAAGGAATCAACACCAAGGACATGTAATAGTATTTCCAATACTATTTTGATGGTTTCATTGAGATAATAGAAAACTAGAAGGGTAGGGAAAAATATTATGGTGTAAAGAGGGAAAAAGAAAGAAAAAGGTATCAACTTCCAACACTCTTTAGCGCAGTAGAAGATAACAACATTACAACCTCAACTTTTTACTTTTACAAAACTGTATGTATTAGCCATTTCTATAACAATAAACCTATCTAATTAGCAAAAACAAAATCAAAGTTTCATTTTTTTTTCTTTACATGTACAAAATCCAGAAGCAATTTCCAAATAGCGTAATATTCTCTCAAGGAACACACTTGATATTTATTGACAATATGGTGTAAGTGTCAGTGGGAAAAGAAAAACAATCCTTTTGATTTTAATGAAACAGCTCTCTGTAATACAGATATAACTATTTTTATTTATTTTAGAATTGGGTATTCCTCTACCAGGTCAATTTTAACATAAGCCAGCCTCCATAAACTTAATGTATAAAAACAAGGATTTCTAAAAACCAAGGGCTTTGTTACTTCATGAAGCAGCTTCTAAAGGGAAGACCATTTCAATGGTTTTTCAATTCTATATAGTCATTAAGTGAGTTCATCTGTATTCAAAAGAGGATTTACAGATCCAGGGTTTACAGGAGGGGGAATCAAACCCCAAACTGCCAGGCACAAGTAACCAGAACCATCCATTATTAGCAACTTTGTTGTTTTCCATCTATGTTATGAGAATCTCCCCACACTGCTTGCCTTCTGGGAATAATCAGATAATGTTTCATGGATCTTGGGGAAGGTCATGCTTGTGCCTGTTGCAGCTGTGCAAGGACTCCAAGCTAGGTCCTTGTTTGACCTATCCTTCCAGTCTGGTGGAAGTTTCCCAATATGAACTAAAGTCTCCAAGAGAGCATGGTTCTTCTTTGTTTCTATAGATGGTTGTAGTCTAAGCCTTTAAAACCAAATGTGGTTCACTCAAAATAAACATAGATTCTCATCTCATTTGCTATAAACCACAATTGTGCACCTCTATAACTGTCTGGTTTGGTTCTGCAACCCAACAGGACGGACACAGACTTCAGAGAATAATTAGGACTGCAGAAAAAACAATTACTACCAACCTGCCTTTAATCGAGGACCTGTATACTGCACAAGTCAAAAATAGGGCTATGAAAATATTTAAAGACCCCTCACATCCTGGACATAAACTGTTTCAACTCCTTCCCTCAAAATGACGCTATAGAGCACTGCACACCAGAACAACTAGACACAAGGACAGTTCTTCCCCAAAAGCCATCACTCTGCTAAACAAATAATTCCTTCAACCCTGTTCAACTATTTACAAAGTGTATACTGCTATTACTGTTAATCTTCTCATCACTCCTTATCACCCATCCCCTCCCACTTGTGACTATGGCTGTAATTTTGTCGCTTGTATCCTTACAACTTGTATTGATTGTTTCCTAGTATGATTTGATTGCTTATTTGTAACCTATGAGTATAATTAAGTGTTGTACCTTATGATTCTTGACTCTTGATGAATGTATCTTTTCTTTTATGTACACTGAGAGCATTTGCACCAAGACAAATTCCTTGTGTTTCCAATCACACTTGGCCAATAAAATATTCTATATTTCTATTAGATAATAATGACTACATGTGCAGCAAAATGTCATGATGCAACCCCCTGCCTTTCTCACTTTCATCCTGGTGTCTGATTCTGACCCAAGAACTCTTAAGACACACAGTTTGAATTATGAACTTGTTGTGTCATTTTTTCCCCTTCTGCAGACACAGATGAATGAACCACAGCAAAACTTTCCACAGTCCTAAACCAATGGGCTAGATAATCTGCAATAGCTTTTATCCATTCAATTTCTCTCCCCCAGATTTTGGCTTCCAGGAATTCAACCTCTAAAAGTACCAGTACATTGAAATCTTACCTCTACTTTGGCAGTTTGTGGTTAAAAAAACCAATATATCTTATTCCCCCCCCCCCCCCCAAAAAAATAAACCCAGCTCAAAGAATTCATTAACCAAGGAGCAGAAATCTTGCTGCTTTTAGATTGCTGAAAAAATGTTTCAAACACCAAACTCTTTACAGAATGGTGAGGAGGCTCAAGATCAGTCTGATGGGAAAATTTTGTTGCTGACTTATTGGACAGAGAACTGCCAAGTTGCTGTTTTGAATGCTTGTGGGCAAACCCAATTCTCAAAACGTTTGCCAGTACAGGAGATTTACCTACAGTATTGAGAAGGCCTAATGGAAAAGATCCTCTCTGCAGAAAATCTCCAGCATGTGCAGAATGATCTAAAGCTTCTTGGAATTCAGAGCAAAGAAATCCGTGCCTGTTTTTCTCTCGCCAAGACCAAATTCACAGAGGAGCTCCAATGTCTCCAGAAGAGCATGATCCTGAAGATCATTTGCGATGACGTTATTCTGAGTTTCCTCTCTGGTGAAGGAAAGAACTTGGCCACAATTTTATATGTCAGTAATCTAGACCAGCGGTTGGTAACCGGTGGGCCGTGGAAAAATTTTGGTGGGCCGCAGAAGAAATGGCCCCCAAAAGCAATTAATCTGGGCCACGCAGTACTCGTGCCTCCTGGCTCTCCAAGGGACCCTGGAGTCAGGTCCCTGAGATGCATGTGCCAACCATCTCCCACACACGGCAGTGGCAGCAACAACATTCCCCACCCTCAGTACCCACTGTCAGCTCTTCCCCATTAGTTCTCTATCTTTGAATTGCTCCCAGCTCTCTTTCCTTCCCCCTCCCCGCCCATGTGCAGGCAGGCAAGGAAAGGGAGATGGAGCTGTGTGCAGCTCTCAGCTCTTCCAGCCCTTGCTGCCTCTCCCAACATCTAATCCTTGGAGATACAGGCAAAGCCACTGCAGCAGTAGCACCCTGAGTTGCCTTAGCATGCTTGGTTAGTTAAGAATCGCCCTGCCCGGAGAAGGAGGTGGTGCTGGAGGAGGAGGAGGCAGTAGAGGAGAAGCAAGCAACTCAGGGCGTTCATTGATCATCATTAATTGGGTGGGGGCTTGGCTACCAGCCATTTGGAAACCTGCCCTCATTAACAAACAAGTACCTAACATGAAGAATGACACCAGACCCACACCCATGAGGGCAACACAAGATGCTACCACCACACTTCCACGTAGAAAGCAGACTCACACCCACACAGATGATGAGACACGGACCAGAAGCCATACCACAGCTGTATCACTACCCACTTCAAACCCCTCCGACCCATACATGAAGCGAACGGACGCCCACCATGAAGATGTGGCATGGCCACGAACGCGAAACCAAACAACAGGATCACAGCTCACCAGCTCAAATCCCCCAGCAACTAAGACTAACCTGAGCACAACCAAGCCCCCACCTGAACAGAACACACCCCCAGCCAATCAGAACACAGCCAAACCCCCAACCAATGAGAACACACCCCCACCCAATCAGAACACAACCAAGCCCCCACCCAATCAAGTCACACCCTCACTAGCAGTTAAAAGGAAGAAGCAGCTGCAAGCTCACATTACTCCGAGAAGCACAAAGCTGAAGACACAAGCCTGAAGATGACAAATGAGACTTTGTCGAAACGTCGCCAAGATACATCCAATTTTACGCGGGAGAAAACCCGAATAACCAAAGATCCATACACATACACATACACATACACATACACATACACATACACATACACATACATGTTCTGTCCCACCTGTATCCACAGATGAAACTTCAAGTTATATAGTTCAAA